GGTGCTCAACCCGCATCACTAGCTTATCCAATCAAGCGGACCGAGATAGGTACTGCTGGAAATCTCGGCTATTCTCGTTCTTCACCCACTTTATTTCTTGATTGATCTAAAACTTCACCCTCCACACCACTTTCATGCGAGTGCGACGTATTCCGTGCTGATTCATAGCTTTTGTCTTCCGTATAACTTCTGAAGCAAATTTGGATCTTCGTTGGGGTGGGATATTGCAACTTATCTACCAGCGGCTCAGTCGGTACTTCTACTATCATATCTTTCTTGTCGACTGTCGCTTTGTGCACTATATTCTGCAACTCACTATAGCAACGCGATCGCGCAGATACATAACATGGCGATAGAGGTACCATATTTACAGGCATCCATAGATCCAGTGGCGCTCCACGATGATGAGTATCAATTTCGATTACTCAGGTTTGTCACCTGAAATACTTGATCTTGCCAGGCTCCGTGATTGCGGTTAGCACACATTTCGGATCATACTTTGCCCACAAAGTTGCATTGTCTGTGCCCACCCCGATCCTCACTTCTGCCGGTTCACCCACTTGCGATACCACATGCTGATCGTTAGTCGTGCTTACTTGCATGGTGGATCGATAAGGTGGTTTTTCGGCCAGAATGATCTGCTTCATCTGGCAAACAAAGTATTCCGTCGGCTAAATCCAATCTATTCCAACTGGAACCATAAATTCATGCCCAATATCGCCTCTTGACCGACACGATCGCCAACCAAAGCAACGAAATAGTATACCAGTGATCCATCCATAGTGATTTTGATCTTGGTACGTCCTTTAAGTGACGTAGGTATTCTCGCCGATCGCTACACACTCTTGTTGTTTCCTCTCATCTATGACACATCCTACCTTACGATCAAAAGCGGTGTAGGCGATTGAGGACTTTGGCTCCTGGGTCAAACAGCAGATTGGCTTTTTCGTTGTTGATCTTGCCACTGCTTTACCTTGCTTGACTCACTTGTCTGGTGTGTGATATTTTCAATATCCACGTGATTCACCTGGAGATAGATCTAGCTCCATCTTAGTGGGAGATGGCAAATATTCATCAACCATTCACATGCTGGATACAGGACTCAAACAGTTCGAATTCAAATCTCAGATATTGACATAAAGGTCGATCCGCGTCTTCACCAGGGCCACACCCAGTATCTGGTAAAGTGGAGGGGATACCCTCAATCGCATAACTCGTGGGAGTACGAGGCACACCTACGGCAAGACTGCCCGGACGTCGTTGAAGCTTTTGATCGGAAGATCAGATGCGGCGACAGCAGTCGTCAGATGCTTCCTAGCACTAAGTGCTGTGAAAGCAAGGTCAGTAGTTAGGCTTCACCTTTGACCTTCTTGGGAAGCAGTTGCCAGTACCTCGCTTGCGTGAGAAGTACTATTATCGGCTTTAGAAGCAAACATACGGCGCATATGGCTTTGTCTATATGATACACAAGGCTTAACGCCTTTGGGAGCTCGACGAGCAAGTGGTTATAGCACTTTATGGCTCAATGAGCATGTGCTGGGCACTTCGGTGCACTTAAAGAAGTGTGAAGCACTTTGCTGCTCTATAAGCAAGTGTGAATCATAATGAAGCTTATAAGCAAGTTTACAAACACTTTGGGGCTATATATAAGCAGGTGTTGTGATTTATAAGCAAAAGTAACACTGTGGGCTTTTTATAAGCAAGTGTGAAGCACTACGAAGCTTTATCAGCAGTTTAAAACACTTTGGGATTATATAAGCAAGTTTACAACACTTCGGAACTTTTAACGCAAGTGTCAAACACTTCGAGGCTTTGTAAAAGCAGTGTTCAACACTAAGGTGCGTTATAAGCACGTGTTAAACAATTGGGTGCTTTATAAGCGAGTGTTGAGCACTAAGGTGCTTTATAAGCTAGTGTTAGACACTATGGTGCTTTATCAGCTATTGTTAGATACTATGGTGCATTCTTTTTTAGTTAGTATTAGACACGAATGTACTTTATAAGCTAGTGTTCGACACTAATGTGCATTATAGGCTAGTGTTAACACTACAGTGCTTTGTGAGCAAGTGTTACACACTTATATGCTCAATCGCTTATAAGCAAGTATTTAGAACACTGGAATGCTATAAAAGCAAGTGCCAGGCACTTAATGCTGTATAAGAAAGTGTTCGCAAACACTAATGGGTATTAATACCGAGTGCTTGGCACTTAACGCTTATAAGCAAGTGTTGTAACACTATAATGCTTTAGCGTGAGTGCAATGCACTGTCAGCTCAAGGAGCAAGTGCTGTAGCACGAGGATGATTAGAAAGCGTGTGTGCAAAGCACAGGTGCTCAAGGAGCAAGTGTTGCAATACGAAAGCCTTATTCGCAAGTGCTAGGTACTTATTGCGAGGCAAGCAAAATGGGAAGAAAATAAAACGAAAGAACTCCACACGAGTTCGACAGTCTTGGGTACGTCGGGTCCCACAGATTGGCGAGGGAGGGTGTAACGGGGTTACACGAAGGTGTGTATTGTACATACACACCTGCCACGCCAATGTGGTGTGGCTGTACCTTGAGTACAAGAGTAGGCTCGATGTGACCGTACCTAAGGTACGAAGGGTCGCATCGTGGCAGAGAGCCACGTGGTCACTATACTTATTTAAGCATAGTGGCTGTACATGTTTGCATATTGATAGGCTACAGAGCCAGTAAATAGTGACTAGTACTATGTATAGAGTAGGTGCTTCTATAGTTTGTGCTAGAAGATAAACATAAAAATAGATCAGTTTTAAACCTGCTCTATAAGCGTCACTGCTTGAGCGTTTTCTTCCTTGAAAGACAGGGAGTTGTATCTTTGATACTGGTCTCCTGAGAGGTGGTTGTTCAAAACCAAAAAGGCACAAGCTTGCGAGCTAGCCTTGAGAGGGTTAAGAACCCTAAGACGTTTAAGCTCTTTGGGCTGTCTTCCTCTGCACGTAGTGCATAAGTAGCTTGACTACAGTAGCTCGGCTACAAAAGAGATGTTAGTGGTTCGACGATGTTCTCAGGACTCAGTCATATCATGACGAAAGAGATGTCGACCGCAGTGACGATCAAGATTATTGTGCCGCCCAAATAAAGTGTTTAGTATATACTGGACACTTTATCTTGCTTGCACCGCATGTAATCTGAAGAGGGGAGACAGACATCTCCACTTCACTTGAAGTGATCTGGCACTTTTAAATTGGCATAAGTTGAATTGTAAACCTTAAAGCGCTTGTAGGACAACTTCAAAAACCTGAACCAACGCCGGACTCAGTAGTTTGGCAATATATTGACATGATTTACAGATTGATGTGGTGGTAAGTCTTGGTCAGGGATTCTCTAACTTCAACAGACATTGCGTACAAATTGCAGAATCAGCAGACAAAAGAAAGAAGAATTTCCACCTCGATAGGTAAGAGCCGCTTTAGCTTTTCATGAAAGGGTACAACAACATTGCGCGATAAGAACCAACAAACTAAGTTTGTAAAACTTTTTGACCAGTTGGAGATGTACTGCAGCACAATATCTCTCACGTGAGAGACCTCACAAGACAATAAAGTCCTCTACAGCCGACATCAAAGAGCGATCAACAGTTCGGCCTGAAATAAAACAGATTCACAAGTGGCGGTTCTAGGCAGCGACAATGTGGGATAGTCTGTACATAGTAGCCACGGTAAGTAACGAGATTTACTACAAGGAAACTGTTCCATTATATATAGTACAGAGAGCTGGTGTAACGGACTCTGTCCTCACTACTTCTGTAACCGAGCTACTGTAGCCACGCTACTTATGCACTACGTGCAGAGGAAGACAAGCTCAGATAGCTTATATGTCTTAGGGTTCCTAACCCTCCCAAGGCTAGCTCGTAAGCTTGTGCCTTTTAGTTTTGAAAAACCGTGTCTCCAAGATACTTAGTATTAAAGATACAATCACGCAGAAGGAATAGAACGCTCTAGCACTTGTGCTATTCAGAGCAGGTTTGAAAACTGATTTATTTTTATGTTTATCTTCTAGCACTAAATATAGAAGCACCTACTCTGTACTTAGTGCTAGTCACTATTTACTGGCTCTGTAGCCTATCAATATGCAAACATGTATAGTCACTATGCTTATCTATGTTTAGTCACTATGATTAAACTAAGTATAATGACCACGTGGCTCTCTGCCACGATGCGCCCCTTCGTACCTTAGGTACGGTCACATCGAGCCTACTCTTGTACCCAAAGGTACAGCCACACCACATTGGTGTGGCAGGTATGTGTGTAGAATACACACCTTCGTGTAACCCCGTTACAGGTATCATGAGGCAACTGTTCCATTATATGTATCATAGAGAGCTGGTATACGGAGTTTCTGTCTTCGCTACTTATAAAGAAACGGTGATCCCAAAGCTCCTATTTTTAGGTTGATCTAAAATGACAGCAAAAAATGATGGCGGCGCGACTGTGACCTTGTCTACAAGTTTGTAACGTCTGTCACCTGAATACAGCTGTCTTCTTTGGTCGGCCCAATATTTTTCTTCTTGACTTGACAAGAACCAGAAAACCTCACAGGACAGTCAGGAAGATGTACCGTCTTTTGACGTAGATCTTAATATTGATGGCACACACTCGGGAGATAGAATGAGAAAAGATGGTGTCTTGCAAGTGATGTGATGAGGCTTTGACAGTGATTGAATCACTAATGATGATACTAACTCGGACAAATCTGAGTGAGACGTTGTGCTAGACGACCTAAAACTGCAGATTTACATGAAAACACTGACACGTTTGTGAACAATACTTTTTTGCTACCAACATTGTATGAATCAGTATAAACTCTTAAAATAATCTTAAACCGATGGTAATTTGAATAAAATTATGAGTAAATACTTCCCTTATTAACTGGTACATTGGTTGGTCACGTGTAAATCTCTTCACCTTCTTCCGTGTCTTTCCCGTGCATTCTCTCTCTTCTTCAGTCTCTCTCTACCTCTATCTCATTCTTCTTCCATGGGGTTTCAAAAAGGTCGTAGTAAGAAAACAGCCATCAGTAATAAGCAGAAATGCGGCTTCTTACGTGCTAGCAGCTCCCATGGTGACAACCCATTCGACGTACGCAGTAATGCCACAAATCAAAAGTATGAAGTTCTTGGACGTCGTGTAAAAGGCGCAGGTCGCAACGTGTTGATTGCGCGAGCTAAAGCAGAACGCAAACGTCACAAGACGCTCGGCATTGAGTTCAAGGCACGGAACAAGAGCAACGTGTTTAAGGACAAACGTCTTGGTGAGCAGGATCCGACATTGTCTATAGAGGACAAAATGATGGCTCGGTTTCAGATGGAACGTAAGCGTAAGATACGCAATGCGTCAACGTTTATACTACGGGACTCCGATTCAGAGCAGGAAGAAGATGATGACTCGTCATTCTTGACACATAGAGGGGCAAAACTTACACAAGATGGTTACGATATTCTCAATGCAAATGGTTCATATGACAATGAAGACATATATTCGGAGGAAAGTAGAAAGATGGACAGCGATATTGTTCACAAACTTCACTTTGGAGGTGGCAACAGAGACGTCAATGCACTGGAGATTGAAGAAGACGGTGGGAAGAGAAAGACCCACAAGGAAGTGATGCAAGAAGTCATGATGAAGGCCAAACTGTACAAGGCGAAGCGACAAAAAGACAAAACTTTGCAGGAAGATGCTACGGACAAATTGGACGAAGGGTTTGCGGATCTGCGTGAACTGCTCGAGTTCCGTCCCACGCGTGCAAATGGCAAGGAAGTAATGTCAAAAGAGCCGATGGATGACTTTGACAAAATCACGCGGGAACTTGCGTTTGAGGCCAAGGTCAAGGCGACAGAGCGACGGATGTCGCCCGAAGAGGCTGCTGCAAAGGAACGTGACCGTCTTGTTGAACGTGAAAAGAAGCGTGTCGCGCGTATGTACGGTGCTGATGCTGATGATAGTGACAGCGACGACGCTGGAAAGCGCAAGAGCAAGAGTGGCAAAAAGGAAGTGAAAAAAGAGAAAAAAATGCAGCTTGTTGTGATGCCGCCCACCGATGACGATCTGACTGACGACTACACAGTTGCTAGTCGTTTTGCCGCGAGCGCCGAAGAAGAAGAGGTGGAGGAGAATGCTGAAGATGAAGTGGTGGAGGAGAATGCCTATGATAAAGACGGTAGTGAGGAACCTGTTGAGGGTGGAGAGGAAGGGTTCGATGGCGATGTTTTAACGGAATCGGACCATCCGAATGAAAACAAGGCAACACAGGATAAAGTACGGGAAGGTAATGAAAAAGAAACGATTGAGGAAGAGGGCAAAAGTGACAAAGTAATGGAAAAGCAACTGCAGTTGCACGATGCTGAGGAAGCTGCAGGTGAACTTCCATTCGTGTTTGAATGCCCGGAGTCTCCTGAAGAGCTGGGTGCAATTTTTAAGAAGCACGCACGAGAGTCGTATGAAAAGCGTGGACTTATCTTGGAACGCATTGTGACATACTATAATCCACGACTGAGTGTGGAAAACAAGAGCAAAATGAAGCGTTTCTTCGCGGTAATTGTGCGACAGTTCCTGATCTTTGCAGCGCGATATGCTGCACACAAGCATGATGTACGTAGTTTGATCCGAAATTGGTGTTAGAGGTACTACTGAGCTGAGTGTGCTTATGGCTGTGTTTCCTTTTCTGATGCAGCTTGATTTACTGACAAAAACAATGTACACATTAGCTCAGGAGATGAGCGAAACTGCAGGCATCGTAGCGCGTGAGCTGCTACGTCAGCTTTTCAAGCGTCTGCACAAGCGTGCTTCAATCTGTGCGTGGCCTACGCTTCCGGAACTTCTTCTGTTCAAGGCCCTGACGTGCATTTTTCCGACGTCCGACTTGCGACACAATGTGGTCTCTCCAATGGAGACGCTGCTCGGAGAGAGTTTAGCTCGTGGTACGGTAAGATCGCCCCAGGAGGCCACACAGGCGTTGTTTGCCGCTTCATTGTCTCTGGACATGATGCGTTCGAAGGAGCGTTTTATGCCTGAGGTCGTGACCTTCCTCACTCACATTCTCCGTGCTTTTGTGACCTCGGGTGTCGATGAGTCAAAAGACAACAGCAATGACTGCTATACTTCAATCCATTGGCTGCGTCGTGACTTGCTGAAGTGGGTGTGTACTCGCTCTGACGGGAAGATGTCTGTGTTGCCACGTGTCGCGTTAGCTGATAGCTCGTCATGTAGCGGTGCTCAAGTGTTGAGTTCCCTCTTGGGTCTAGTGGATATTTCATCGGCTCAGTACGCGTCGCTGCCATCATTTGACGAGCTTTTTTACCCGCTTTATCTACTACTCCATGCTCTGGTGAAGCAGCTGGAAGACATCAAGATATTTGAAGTCAATGTTGTCATTTGGAAGCTTCACACACGTCTCAAGTCATGTTGGAAGACACGTCGACCGCTTCGTCTGCAGAGCTTTAGGCCAATGACTTTGCCAACATTCGCTCCGCAGTTTGACGAGAGCTATACGGCGCGAAAGGACAAGATGGCACCGAAGGACACTGCACAATTGAAGCAGCTGCAACGTCAAGTTAAACGTGCACGAAAGAGTGCAGCACGTGAACTTCGTCGTGACACTGAATTTATTGAGCGTGAAAAGCAAAAGGAGGAAAAGTCAAGACTGCTAGCCAAGGAGGAGAAACAAAAGGAAATTCGTCATTGGCTTGAGGAAGAGAATGCGACTTTTAACCAACAAGTGCGTAAGGGTGGAAATATGCTCAAAGGTGGAGGATCATTAGCACGGATAAAACGCCCATTTTAATTGTAAAACCCCCATTTTTGTACCCAAAAAATACGTGATCGATTTGAATCAAAAGATGAAATGCTTTGAATTCATAATAAAACACAGTGGGTTTTTCTTTTTTTGTTTTCATTGAAACGTATGAATCATCAACACTTTTGATGATGTGAACAATAGATCGACTAACGTGTTGTTTGGGTTATTAGACACTAACACTTGGTCGTATCTTCCTTTTCCTTATGTTTTGGTCTTCCGTTCCTTCTTCGGTACGTTTTTCTTTGTATACTGACGGGTAGGAGGTATTGGTAACACATTAGCTAGACCCAAGAGATACGCGACACGATCAGAAGGTTGTGCACCCACTGACATCCAATAGCGTACACGTTGGTTGTTTACACGTAGTTCCTTGACACCATCACTTGCTGCAATTGGATTAAACGTACCAAGCTAAACGGAAACAATGACAATCGTTAAAAGTCTTGACATTTTAAAATGATTGAAACTGAATAAAAAACACACAATGGGTGATATAATCGTACAATTTCAAGATGTTTGCCATCACGTGGAGCACGAGCGTCTGCTGCCACAATTCGGTAGAATGGCAGATCTTTACGTCCCCAACGGGCTAAACGCAATCTTACTACCATAATTCCTCACAGTTGATGGGGGCGCCAGTAAAAGAAATGATAGATAGCCCATACGATATGAGTATACACTGGTAGATACCGGTATTCGCAGTAGTATATATTAACAACACATAACATTCGTTCGACGTGGCAGCCGTCAATACTCAACTAGTAAACCCTGTAGAATCAAGTAAGCCTTGGAACGTCGATTATTTAGTATAAAGCTAAGACCAATCAGAAAATGTTGATTCCTATCGTGATGAATCAAGAAAACGCGTCTGGGTCATGTATGGAGCAAGTAATGCAGGTTCATACCGGTTCTTGACGAAGTCAGTGCACTCTCTGATCATCCAGTCGGCCATTGTGTGCCTTGCTTCGTCAGGTTTGTCGGGGAAATCTCTATAGTAGACTTAAGTAAATTGAGACGAGCACATACTCGCGAAGAACTACTTGACAAAGGGTATTTAGCCAAGCCTCTATGCTGCCTGCTCGAATGCAAGAAATTTTACTACAATTGCGGATTGATGTGCGTGTTGTGACTGACAATTTTGTAGTCGTCGATGAGACTAATGATAACCCCGAAGTTTTTGCCGTACGTTAAGCAATAAAGATAACATTTGCAAATACACCATCCGATTATACTATTAAAAGTATACTTGCTCCCACATTCGCACGCCAGTCTTTTTGTTTCCAAGTCGTCACAACGGGAAACCCCTTAAAGAGAGGAAGTGAAACACACACATTTACAGTCAGTTAGTTGTTGGTTCCCCTGTCGCTTAAAGTGAAAAAGAAACTGGTTTCGCCCATTTCCTTTTTCTTTGTTTGTTTCCAGCCTCCAGTAATCTGCGAAGAAAGCCTATCAAATAGCTTACCGTGTATACAAGTATGACACAACGTGGACCATCGGGACACGGCGAGATGGATCGACGTCGACGTGCTAGTTCGAATTACTTTGAGCTTGACGCTGATCGGCGTCGGAACAAATCAGAACGATCTGAACGTTTTAGTAAACGTTTGAATTCCATGGATGTCACAAGTATGAGTATGAAGGGTGTGCCGCAGGATGATGAGGCAGCCATTGATTACTGTTGTGATTATCTCAAGGCAAAATTTGGGTTTCAAGAAGGTTCCGTGAATAATCAACGTGAACACGTTCTTTTATTATTAGCCAATGGGAAAGCACGTTGTCTATCAAGTGATTCCGCGGATCAGAGTCTTCTTCAATTGGGTAATAAATTGTTATCGAATTACCGTTCATGGTGTCAATTTCTCCATACAAGGCCAGTCACGTATAGTGGTAACCGGATTCCAAATGCTACATCTTTTGGCAATCTGTACATGGACGTGATGTTGTATTTTCTGATATGGGGAGAAGCTGCAAATATTCGTCATATGCCAGAATGTATCTGTTATTTGTTTCATCAGATGTTACAAATGGTCAATGCTGATCCGCAAGGTCAGACACTTGAATCAGAAGGCTGGTATTTGAATCACGTGATTCGTCCAATATGGAATGAAGCATCAAATATGACACGACGTAATGCATTGGGCAAACCTCTTGAACATGTTAAAATTCGAAATTATGATGATCTTAATGAATATTTCTGGAAACCCCATTGTCTCAGCATTCCCGTGACACGAGTGGGACAAGAGTTAACCCAACACCACGGAAAGACCTTTTATGAACATCGCAGTCTCTTTACACTGATTCTCAATTACTATCGGATTTTTCAATTCAATCTCATGTATTTTGTCTTGTTGATTGTATTGGCTTTTGCTGTCACGATCTCACCTTCTGGTGGCACAAGTGGATGGCATCAATTTGAATCCCTTGGGACGGTTGTAACACCGTATACAACACGTGATTTAAAATTAGCGATTGTTGCAATTCCATTTAGTTTAAGTCTTTTGGCGTTTTTGAAATGTGTCTTGGAAGTATCGCATGGATGGCATTTATTAACATCAAGGGAACAGATTGCAACGAGTTCACGGTCTTTTACCTATGGTGCAGCATTAACAAGTCGAATTGTATGGAATGGTGGATTTGCGATTTTATTTGGTGCAATGATTTATGTTCCATTGTATCAAGATAAGGATACCATTCTTTTGGATAATTTGTACCCATTATGTGGTGGATACATTCTACCAGGTACCTTAATCTTATTGATTCAAGCTTTTGCACCACAAGTGATTCATGGTTCATTTGCATCCAAGTTTGTTCGTGAAGGTGAAAGTTGCTATGTTGGACAAGATATGGCACCACCGCTATTGTATCAACTCAAGTATATTGTCTTTTGGATTTTCTTATGGATTATTCAAGGTGTTACGTCATACTTTATTTTAGTCCGTCCACTCATGTTACCAACATTGAGTATATACGCAATGCGACTAGATTATCAAAATCCATTGGTCTTGTTTCACAATATTGGAATTATCTTTGCGCTATGGCTGCCTGTAGTGTTTATCTTTAATTACTCGACACAGATTTTTTTTTACAATACTTCAGGCTTTGCTTGGTGGATTTCAGGGAGTTTTAATGAAGACTGGCGAAATTCGTGGTGCAAAGGAAATGACAAAAGCTTTTCGTGTTGCACCACAGTTGTTTGATCAAAAGGTCGTGACATTGCTTGCGCGTTCTAGCGATGCACCTACCAGTGGTAATAATTCGACCCGTGCAAGCGCGCTGGCTGCTGCTTACGAATCACAAATGATGTTGCGATTTGTAGTCGTGTGGAATGAAATTGTAAATTCTTTTCGCGCGGGTGATTTGCTTGATGACAAGGAGGCTGCTATTCTTCAGTACGACATCCGCAGTACTGGTGAGGTATTTGAGCCCGTCTTTTTGTCGGCTGGTAAGCTGGCGGAAGCCATGAGTTTGGCAATCAAGACGGCTAAAGATGGAAAGGGCGAGTCTCAACTCCGCGTCACGCTTGTTGAGAATGACTGTCTATCGGCTATTCGTTCGTTCTTCACGGCTAGTATGTATGTAACTAGTGCTCTGTTTGGCAACGATGACGCTGATGTGGTCGATGGTTTCCGAATGATCGAGGAGATTGCTTCTAGCGGCGGTTTCCTCAAGTCCTTTAATGTTCGTGAGCTAGCAAGCTTGTGCATTGCCGCTGTTGATCTCTTGGAAGAGATTTTGGACCTACCCGACCCTGGTGCGCAGCCGCAGCATATTCCAAATGCTCGTGTGCATCCATTGGGTGTGATCCGCAATTTTGTTTCTAAGATGAAAGCATTTCTGAATGGTGTGCAGTCTTTCTGCTTGGATCCTGCTTTGCAGCGTAAGTTCGGTAACTCGAAGTTTTGTTCTAGTGACAACGGATACATGTATGCGTCGCGCGGGCTTGTGAACCTGTTCTGCAGCGACACGGCCATGGGTGCCGCCACGCGCGCCTGTCTGCTGCTCTCACTGGATCATGCGGAGGCGATGCCACGTACTATGGAGGCAAAGCGCCGTCTGGGATTTTTCATGAAGTCACTTGTCATGGATATTCCCCAATTACGTTCCATTAAGGAAATGCGTAGTTTTTCGGTTGTGACTCCGTTCTATGCCGAGACAGTGCTGTTTTCACTTCAGGATCTGAACAACCCTCTTGTAAACCACCCCATTTTCCAGCAGGTTGAGGAAGATGGCAAGAACTTGACGATATTAAAGTATTTGACAAAGATTCACCAAGAAGAATGGGACAACTTTTTGGAGCGTGTAGATGTGAGTTCCGCCGAGGAAGCTCAGAAGAATCACCCCGAGGAAATCCGTCTATGGGCTTCATACCGTGGCCAGACGTTAGCTCGTACGGTGCAAGGTATGATGATGTACGAAGATGCGATCAAGATTTTGCACTGGTTAGAAATTGGTTCAAGTCCTGGCAAGTCGGCCGAGCAGAAGCAGAAGCAACTTCAGGATATGGTTCGTCTTAAGTTTTCGTACGTTTGTGCTTGTCAGGTGTACGGAAAGCACCGCGCTGAGGGTAAGGCTCAGGCTGCTGATATTGACTACCTCCTTCGTGAGTACCCGAATCTGCGAGTGGCTTATGTGGACACGGTTGAACACGCGGATGGTGAAAAGAGTTTCGACACTGTACTGATCAAGAGTGAAGGTGATGATATTGTTGAAGTATATCGCTATTCACTGCCGGGAGATCCGATTTTGGGCGAAGGAAAACCTGAGAACCAGAACAACGCTACTCCATTTACGCGCGGAGAGTTTGTGCAGACTATCGATATGAATCAGCAACACTATTTTGAGGAATGCTTGAAGATGCCACAACTTTTGTGTACGGCAGACTTGCACCCATCCAAGAAACCAGTCTCGATTATTGGTATGCGTGAACACATTTTCACGGGCAATGCCAGCTCTCTTGCGAAGTTTAAGACGTGGCAGGAACTGGTATTTGTGACGCTCTCTCAACGTGTGCTTGCTGACCCTTTGTACGTTCGTATGCATTACGGGCATCCTGATGTGTTTGATAAGGTGTTAGCTATCACGCGCGGTGGTGTGTCAAAGGCGAGCAAGGGTATTAATTTATCCGAAGATGTGTTTGCTGGTTTCAATACGACGTTGCGCGGTGGTGTCGTAACTCACGTGGAGTTTATGCAGTGTGGCAAGGGTCGGGACGTGGCTTTATCTCAGATTTCGATGTTTGAAGGTAAGCTTGCTAATGGTGCTGGCGAGACATCGCTGGCGCGTGAGGCTCATCGCATGGGTCAGTTCATGGACTTTTTTCGCTTGAATTCGATGTATTACTCACACACTGGGTTCTATTGCGCAACGTGGATGACAATTGCGACAACATTTGTGTACATGTACTGCAAGCTCTACATTGCCCTTTCTGGTGTGCAAGCACAGATTGTGTACAACATGAATACCACAGAGATTATTATGAGCAACTCGGAAGCGTATGGTTTCGATGATCGTGTTTACAAAGACATGGATTCTGTCTACAACACGCAATACTACATCCAGGCTGGTCTGTTTTTATCGCTACCGCTGATTTGTGTGTACTTTGCTGAAATGGGTTTGCGTCGCGGTCTTGTGCAGTTTTTGGAGATGGTTTTCACTGCTGGTCCTATGTTTTTTATCTTCCAGCTTGGTACGACCATGCACTTTTTTGACAACAACTTGCTCCATGGTGAGGCCCAATACAAGGCTACCGGTCGTGGTTTCAAGATCACGCGCGAAACGTTTGTGTTGTTGTACAAGGCATACGCTTTGAGTCACTACCGCAAAGCCATCGAACTCATTGGCCTCTGTTTGGTGTACTTGGCTTTTGGCAAATTTGATATATGTGATATTTCTGTCGCCGGTCAAACGAATTGATTTGCGTTTGACTTTTGTGAAACGTCACAGAGCTTTGGCGTCCAAACGTTTGCTATCTGGGTCATTGCCGTGGTGTGGCTAGTGTCTCCATATATCTTTAACACCGATGGTCTGGACTGGGAGAAAACAAAGGCTGATGTGTCGGCTTGGGCCAAGTGGATGTATGCGGCGGAAGATTATCAGGATGAAGACACAGTGATGG